GCGAGAATATCGCGGCAACCGCCGTCTCTATTTAGTTTATAGAATCGCTCGCGACCGTAGCGCTGCTCTTTACGATCGTGCCGGATATTGAATTAGTTTTCTCCTTTCCTATTTTTCCAGTGTACGGGATTCGTTCTATTCGACGATCGAAGAAAGTTGCATGGATAAAGAGAGTGCGAGGGAGGGAGGAAGAGTCGAGGAAAAAAGAAAGGAACCGATGTTGCGTGCTTTTATCGCGGAGACGTTGGGGCAAACATAGCCGTCATAAACGTGGTCCCGGCCCAGGATCATAATAACTTAGCGCAGATTTAGCGACGGTAGAAAACGCGGCTAGCTCACATTTATTACAGGGCTGAATTACCTCGGCAGAGTGGCTGGCCGGAATCGCGTGAAAGACTTATCGCCCTCCACCTATCCGTCATAATACCTGACCCACGACAATGTCTTCAGCTACGCGTTAATAATACTGGTTGTTTCGTTAATTGACTACCAGCACCACGGTCGCCGTTCAATAAAAATAAAACGTGGATCGCATAACAAAAGATAGTGGAGAGGTAGTAAACTCGAAAATATACAGTCGCGATATATAAAGTAAATTACCGTTATTAAAAGTGGCTCTTTTCGTATTCGCGATACATTTTTTTCAGAAATTACCTCTCGCGCGTTTACCGTCGCAATCGCAATTGAATTTTATTTGACTTCGGGAGATATTTAACACGCGAGAAGCGTTTAACGATGGAAGACATCTGCCTCGTTGTTAATATATCCCTGGATCGTTGAAAATGTTAATTGTACGAGGGAAATAATAGAAACGAAGGGAAACTCGTTAAAAAATAACACCGCGAGCGAAAGTTGACGGCTGCGCAATTATTATTATTATAGACGGTGAAACGGAACATTGTCCAGAGACTTATGAATAATTATGCGAAAGGGGAACATGGAAATAAAAACAGATAGTAGCGAAGCTAACCGGAAAAATTACTGGGTCATTTCGTGGGGTTTGCGTGTAAATAGAAAGTAAGACGACCGCGCTTTAGAAGGTTCGTCCGGAATCCAAAGTTAAGTGCTGGAAATTAATCGAGAATTACCGAGCATTTGAACGCGAGGTTCCGCCGTTGAATGCTCCAGTAATTAATTCACCGGCGAAATCGTACTGTAGACTATTCGATTACCTCTATACGCTCGCAATTACCCATGATAAATATATTTTATTTTATCTTCAAATACTGTTTATTTTACTTTCTTATTATTACTAGAGTCGCTTAACGAAACCTCATACCATTATGAGAACGATTAACAATTATTCCTCAATCTCCACCGTGTTTTCGATACGTCTAATTAATCTCCATGATAAATATATTCCATTTTATTCTCATCTATATTTTCCTTTGTTACTTGAATTATTTAATAGAATCTTGTAAAACGGCTAACGATTATTTTATCAATCATGCTTCTTATTCGCTCAGTTAATGCTGCTAACAAATATATTTTCATATTATATAAATCACTGAATATAATTTGTAGATCACTGTGAGAACGACTAACAATTATTGCTCATTATCCATCGTATTTTCGATTCAACTAATTCTATAACACATTTTATTTGATCCGTATCCCTCTTGTTTCTTATTATCTGAATCATTTAACGCAATCTTCTACCGCTGTACGAGCAATTAGCAATCAAAGTGCTCAATGTCATCCATCAAATTTCCGACGCGTCCAGTTAATCTGACCCATAATATTCCACAATTTTCCCGACTGACACAAATTTCCCTGAATTCGCGAAACAATAAGCGGGTATCGTGATTCGTCCGTGCAATTTCTCCGTCAACCAGCCGACTAATCGTTGTCACCGGCAATTATTCACCAAAATGTCCGTTCGCAGTTTCGGTGGCGATGCAATAATTACCCGGCGACTTTCGTATACGCGCGTTCACTCGCACGCGGATCCTTCATTTCCCCGGTGGTTATCGTCGTTTCGCAGTGAGAACGCTTTTGCACGAGCATTAACGAGTCGCCAGAAGTTTGCACCGACTTTGTCGAACGATGCGTGACGCGCATTAAACATCTTGAAATTATTTCCACGACAATCTCTTGTTCTCCATGAAACAGAACGCAACTTCCACAACTTTTCATCCGTGAATATTGGCACTCGATAACGCGCAGTTTCGCGAAAGACGTGGACTCGCGTCGAATGGGACCTTAGATAGGGTTAAGAACCGCGATTTCGTAAGTTAAGGTAAGAAGGTGTAAAACTAGCGACCCACGAGTTAAAAAGTTTTCTTAATCAAGTTATTTAATTTACGTTCTCACACTTTTTGACAGAAGTTATAGAAGTCAGAGTATAAAGGCAAGGGTAATTGGGGCAGATGTACTTCGTCGCTTCAAATTCTTAGGATAGTTACCGCACCTGCTTCAAAATTTGGAGGAAATTGAGTAATCGTTAAAAGATACGAAAGATCTCGAAGCTTGTTACATTAGACGTACCGATGACCGAGGCGTAAGATTTGCTTCAAATTCTCCAAAATGCATTGTTACAAAGTTATGATACATATAAAATTTCTATGATACGAATCATGATCGTTCCAATCACTTTGGTACTTGCAGTGTTAATCTCATACTTTCTTCTACAAAGAGATTATACCATAGAAGCGCATGCACAGTTCAAGATAAGGTTTTATTAAAAATAAAAGGTGTCTTAAGACTCTGGAGTAGAAGCGTAACTGTTCTTTCGAGAAATGTCTTAAGACTCTCGAGTAGAGGTGTAGCTATTCTTTCAAGAAATTTGCTTGGAAGTTGCGCGTTAGTCATGTTAGTACGTGGAAGACATCCGTCAAGTCGATTCATCCTTCGAATGCTATTGTACTTCGGTTTACCGCAAGAAACTGTTGGCTAGAATCTACTTGCTTGTTAGGATGTATGTAAGTTGGTATTCGCGTGTGGTATGGTACAGTGAAGTTGCGCCAGTGCCAAGAGGAAAGTAATGAAATAACATGTGCTTATGAAGTATCTCGGGAGTTGGAAGCGTACAAAGTATGACGAGGAGAATTTTAAGGAGGATATATTAAACTCGCAGTGCCGGATATACCGGTGGGAAAAGAGAGAAAAAGAAAATTGGTATGGCATGGAAATTCTATTCCATTTCATTCGAAGCTTCCGTAACGGCATCGATCGATAAATTCTTCGAGACACTTCTGACAAATAGAGGGGACGAGATGAAATAAGTCTGATCGTATCGTATTTCTTCGCCGTAATTACTATTATTTTCCAACGCAGCGATGGTATGTTTCGATCAGTCGGTAAAATTCGATTATGCGAAAAGTATTAAATTACGCGGGGCTCGAATTTTAAACGACTCGAAAGCTATCAATTGTTGAAAATATTACGGTGGAAAGGGTGTGGGGAATGCATGTACCTGGATCAGCAGCATGGGGGAGAACAGAATGGAATAATGGGTAATGCGATTAAACGTGCTTGTTCGAATTTTATTCCGCCACGACGACCAAGGGTGGAAAATAAATACGATCGTTCCGATATTTATTGCGAGTCGATCGTCAAACAATCATTGCAAATATGTTTTTATCAGATAGAAATGAAACTTCGATGGCACTCGTGTTGATCCGCCTATTTCGATGCTTACTGTTCCCCTATTATCCCTAGATAGTACATTCGACACATCGGTTCTTTCTCATCGAGAATGTAATTTATACAATATCAAAACTTCAACCATATCAATCGCTAATCCCTGATATCAAGGCATATATGTATATATATTTTTTTTCTTTTTTTGGTTTGTAAGTTTAATAATAACAGTATATAGATAGATGTTAAATTGTTGTAAAGCGCTTAAATGTGTAAATTGTAATGAGATCATCGTGCCATTTATAATGTATGCCAATTATTTATCGGAATTCGATAGGAAATTCGAAACAGAATAGCGTATAATCCTTTTCATCCTTTGTTTCTTTTTTTTTTTGTTTTTATTTTTTAAGAAACAATTTTTGCTAATTCGGGAAACTGGCATATTCACGAAAATATGTATTAAATGAAAATCGTCGAGCGGCTGTAAACATTGTACCATGGGAGATGATAGTTTTTATGTTATCCGTAAAATATCGATACAATTTCGAGAGCATTACGACAATATGTTAAAGTAAAAACGTGTTAACGCGTCTCTGTTTTATTCGTCTTTTTTTATTTCAGTGCCGACGGGAAAGCCTATAATTACCAGTGCTCACAACACGTCTGCCACGTCCATTTATTTAGCGTGGAAGGCGCCCAGTCCTGATACCATTCATGGAGAATTCCTTGGTTATCGAATCGGGTATAAACCTCGAGACAAACCTTACATGGAAGAAAAAGAAGTGTATATCCGTAATCCAGCCATAGACGTAAGTTACGTAAGAAATCGTTCGAATCTCCTTTATTATATTTGTCACACTTAACATTACGTCGTCATTCCTCGTTTAATAAATTTCATATGTTTTGTTTCATTGTAGAATCACACAATCCGCAATCTTCAAACGTACACTCAATATCTAGTGTCGTTGCAAGTATTCAACCCAGAAGGGCATGGCCCTGCGACCACTATCTCCGTAATGACTGACGAAGGAGGTAAGATTAGAAATTTGTTTATTATTACGTAGTCATTAAATATCTGATAAAAGGACAAGAGATTTAACTACACAGATGTCTCCGACATCCGTTTATAATTTGGCGCTTTAAACCTGAACGTGTCGATAAAACAGAATATTCGCTGGTTTCTTTGTATCTTCGGTCGATAAATGCAACTTCGAAGATATCTACTTTAGCTAAATTTGAAAAGGAAGATTCCTATAATAACGTTCTCTTACCAGCGATCACATAAAATTTAAAGGGATCTAAAATACCCGATGTTGGAAAGGTGGTACAGTGAATTCTCAAGGTTTCAAACATTAATGGAGTAGGAGAAAATGAAATTAAATAAAATGTAGAACGTTTTTAATCAGAATTAAATGAGAATGTCGCTAAATTTGATTGGCCTTTCGCTAGATGCTATCAAGTTTTTGCTTTACAGCCGGGTGTTAAGAATTTGATAAACCCTCGTTCGTGGTTTATAGACCTCGTATCAAAATCGTAACTTTTTTATCTTTACCACGTAAAAAAGATACACTTCGTAAAGTAATAAAAGCGTGTCCCATCGCGCATCATTTTATGACATTCTATAGCCATTCGGTTGACGATAGAATAATTTAATTATGCACTCTAAACCAGTGCCTTTCTTTGAGCCGTCTCTATCTGTCGAGCGCAATGATTATGCGGGAGGCAGATAACACTTGCTAACGTAACATTCAGAAGATAGCGTACAATCTTTCAGTAACTGACGCAGTTAATATTATTTGAATTCACCATATATCAGTCGCTTTTTCCCAGAGCGTATGCATGAATTCCACGTTTCGTAAAGTTTATGCAAATCGTGGTTATTTCGGAGACGATCGTATCTTTATACGCCTTTCTTGATGGTCCATTCGTTTCTAACTACGTCCCTGATTTCCTTACGGTCTTCAGTTTTGTCCCTCTTTCTCGTGGCTGTCACACGTCGCATTTGCTCTCGCTGAATTTTAGGTCTTGGAACCTGGAACACTTTACTATGTAGCGGTCTTCCTGTGTACAATCGCCACTAGAGGAATCACGGCAGAATACCATTTGCAGAAGTTATTCCCTCCGTTCCTCCCAGCTGTCCAATACCTACAATACGATCTTTGACCTGACTCCATTATCCCTGCCTAAAATACGATCTGCTAGGTAGTGTTACTGATGAATTCACCAACAAGTAGATATGTTTCCTTTGCTCCGTTCCGTTCTCCTATTTCTCTATTATTCCTTCTAAATTCTCTCTCGCACACCTTTGGTATTATAATGCTTAACGCACACAAATTCAACATAAGGAAATCTATAATGTTATTGAAACAGACAAAAACATTTGGTTCTCCAATTGGAGATATCTTACCAGTTTCAACTACTATCGCAGCCGCTCTGATACGTAATTACTCAACGGATTATTCATTATCAGGATCCCGATTACTTGGAACTTGGTTTTGTTCTTTGCGATTTCCTTTAGCATACGTAGCTGACATTGAAAGAATACATCGAATGATTTTAAATGACCATTCTACATTGTCTCTAATTGAATGTTGCAGCGAGATCAGTTATTTATTAAAGGAAAGTATCTCGAAGGAAGGCGACATCTGCCCCAAAATCGATGCGACGATCGTAGCGCCGATGGTACTCTAATGATATCATCATGCATCGTCGCCACAGATTCTTATCGACTGGTGAAAGACGCCATCGTCGCATCACGACCGAATACTCGGCACTCGGATCACGTTTTTGACAATGACAGTTACAGGCCACGTGGTACGAAGATCGAACTTTACGTCCCTGAAAGTCCACTCGCCAGCAGGTTTACAGCTGCTCTTCACCACGTCCATAAGTAACCATCGTTCTGTGCCGTCGACGGTGCTTTGCTCTCTCTCTCAAGAGAGGCTACGGTCGAGATTTTCATGGTCGTCGGCACGGTTTTCAGTGATCTGTCGTTGCCGTTTCGTGATTCATACGGGCCTAATCCTCGTCTTCGCCGTTGCTTCACGTTCGCCGATCGGTTTGTACGAATTTTCGCTTCTCTGAAAATCCATACACGTTGGTACAGGGCAGGGACCGTGATAAGAGAGGCAGTGCGAGGAGAATCGGCGGAGCAACGAGGATCGAAGAGACAGCGATGAGAAACAAGAACGGATAGCCCGTAAGCGAGAGAAAGAAAGTCCGTAACGTGGTGGGGAGCACAGGCAAAAAAATAAAGAGAAAGAGGGGAAGAGTTAGGGGTTGCGGGAGAAGAAAAGAGATGGTCGGAAACGTCGGTGGATAAACAGAGAGGGAAAGGAACAAAGAAGAAGGAAGATAGAACGAGGGAAGAGGAAGAAAGAGATAGGCAAACCAAAGGGAGGGATTGCCACGCCGTTTCGGTCGTCGCCATTGGCGCGCCCCTTCGTTTCACGATCGATTTTCCACGATTTTTCACTCCAATATGCGCTACTTCCTCGAGAAGAGTATCGGAGTACGTGGTGAACGTGACACGTCAAAGTCGCCTCTTGTCTCGGCGTGAAGAAGTCGCGATAAGCGGGAACAGCCGAAGGAAACGCGTACAAACACGCTATATACACGTTCATATATATAAAACACTAATACTTGGTGCCTCCTTCTCGCATATGGCTGTGTAACGTGTTCTCCACATTCCCCTCTCTCGTTCGTTTTCCTTCCCTCTTGCCTCCTTTCTTTCTCTCACGCACATTTCCTGGCGCACGTGTATGCCGGCTTGTTAGAAACACTGTGCGCCTGTAGAGTGCGCGCGCGCGTGCTTCTCGTGCATTCTCCGTCTCGCTCCATCCCCTTTGTACGTACACGTTTCAGCGTAGCGCGTCGTCAGTGCTCGTCGCCTGTATTTGTGAACGTGAGTTTCTCTCCCTCTTTCTGTACCTGTCTGTCTGTTTTCTTCCTGACTGGAAGCAAGTCGGAGAAGCGAGTGTAGAGAGCTGGAGTCACGGTTTACCGTACGCGCGAGAACGTTGTACGTTGGTGATCGCGGAGGCAAGTAGTGTGTGTGGCAACGTTCGTGTTCCTCGCTTGAGAGCAGTGCGTTTTGTCACTCTCGCAGCATCGCAACGGTGCTCCATTGCTAGTCCCGAGATGTCGATGGGACGTTATCTTGATTAGGCTCTCTCGCAGTTAGATCTGTCATATTGTGAAGTTACTCGTGGAGATTCTTCGTGCGGTACAGTTTGAAATGGCGTTTGATTCACCGCGCGAACGACGCCTCTTCAGTGCCAGTGACGCCTAGTGTGAGAAAGTTTTCAGTGATTTGCGCACACCACGTCGTATAGTACCGGCCGTATCTTTTTTTTCTTTTTTTTTTGTTTTTTTTTTTTTTTGGTTAAGTTAGATCGAGGATACTCGAAACGCAGAGAATCGTATGGTAATGATCGGCCTAGTAAGTGATCCGGGTTGAGAGTTCGACATGGGCGGAATCGTGGCTCGAGGTTGAAGGGTCGATATAGCGTGAAGGGTTCTTCGCACAGTGCCAAAATGACGCTGGATCGGTTGCATTCAATTGACCGTGCGAATACTTCCTATAAGGATTTCGATACTCATCGAATATTCCCATCGGCGTAGTTCTCTCGGATCGACGTTACCTTTCATACAGCGTCGTGACAATTCGTAATGCAATCCATGTTGTTTTCGTAAAGTACATTGACAGCGCATCTTATAGAAATATTACTATTGTTGCTACAGAAATATTATTGTCCGACGTACATGCACTTATAATATGCGCTCCAATTTTTGTTTTCGTTAGACATTGACTTATCGCGGTTATATGAATAAGAAATAACTGTCGGTCTACGTAGCGTTACACGAAATACATGTCAATGTCATCCGCTTTGATAATTTATTCTATCTGTGTATCCGCGAATATAGCATATCGCTACCGTAGTCCACTTTAATCGACCTTCGCCAGTGTGTAATTGAGTGTAACCTCGTCGACGGTTTTCTCTCGGGGAATGTTGGAACAAGGGTCGTCGGTGCAGTGTCAGGTATGACGAGTACCATCGACGACAAAAGGCAACACCCTTCGCCCTCGAATCTGTCTGGCTGAAAAGCGACGTCTCGTACCAAACGAATCGATTCGTCTTCTGGTGGTCGATCGGTGCGATCCCACGCGACACGCGGTACGGCTAACCTATGCAAATAGCACATACATCGTTGTATAATATCAGTCGGTTTGTGGTGGCCCGAGTTTCTACGTTTTCCGGCGACTTATCGCGGAATTGGATATTTCTTGTCGCAAAGGATATTGGAATCGGAAATAACAGGCGTCTCTCTCTCTCTCTCTCTCTCTCTCCCCCTTCCTCCCTCAACCCCCGTTGGTCTAACGTCTTTCTTGCGAAACGGAAGTAGATAGGAAATCGTTGATAGTTCGCCGATCGTCGCGCACGAAATATCTACGATGTTCTTTCAAGTCGGTTGTACACGAAGTGTGTCAGAATGTATAGAAGTTGCTTAGGCGAATAGGCATCAAAGTAATTGACAATGTTGTTAATGAATATACACGTTATTACACTTTCAAACCACCGTTATAAATCACGTGCAATTTGCATAGAGGAGTATGATAGTCATTTTAAGTAGGTATACCAAAAATGGCAGAATATATCGCACCATATAATGCCATGTAATTTAACCACATTTCTTTTTATTATCTGAATGCCTCGAGTTTACCCTTGAACCGGTGCCCACACATTATGATACACCCTATGTAAGTACACTCGTCGAGGCTTCGTAGGCCAATGAGTCATCCTTTATTGCGGAACATGAATTTTCAACCGAGATCAGCGGAAATGTTTTTCCGCGTTTATATCCTCGTTGTCCGAGCACGCCGGAGCTGGTCTCAATTTTCTTTCCGTCTAGCTTTCCGCACAACTGGGATAGACGTAGGACGTGAAGTTTCTCCGTGACGTATAAATGTCAAGGCTCGTGGTGCTTGTGCACGCGTGCAGCGCCGCTGCGGCCGGTTCTCGGCTAACTTG